TCTCTTAAAACAGCCCTGCTGCTGGTTTTAACATCCGCTAAGAGGGTGAGTGTTTTATCTGCCCTCTCAGTCGCTCCGTCATGTCTTAGAATTCAGGCTGACGGCAGCTCAGCTGATTTAAGACCAAACCCAGCTTTTATGCCTAAAACATCACAAGCTCTTTTAAATCAAGATCAGAAGAAGTAGCGTCTTTTCATCTCCTCTGTCCGGTGCAGGCGTTGACATGTTACATAGCGTGCACAGCTGCAATGCGTCAACATTTGTTTGTGCATTATAGAGATGCATCTGCAGGTCGTCCGTTATCCACCCAGCGCTTTGTCACATTGGCTGTGTGAGGCCATTTCTGAAGCCTACAGAGCATCAGATTTAGAGCCTCCTGTCAACCTCAGAGCACACTATCAGGGGTATCGCATCTTCGACTGCTTTGCATAATGGTATGGCAATGCAGGACATTTTGCACTGCGGCCGCGTGGTCAACACCCTGCTCATTCATTCGCTTTTATCTACGTGATGTGACGGCTCGTTCCATGACACATTCTGTCCTTAGTGTTTACAGAACGAATATTGTTGTTTAATGGAACTCCGTTTTACTCACATCTGTCTGCATGCATTACAGTGTGAGATGTTGTTATCAATCACAAGTTGTGATTGTTATTTTGGTTCTATTGTCACTGATCAGTTCATGACTATTGTTACCAATCAGTTCTTTTGATTAATAATCAGCTCTCCTGTTGTTATTATTAATCTGCTCATACGGTTCAGCCGTAAACCGGTTGGTTCATGGCTCTTTTTAGCTTTTTTCCCTCCCCGATGAAGTTTTCCAGGGCGTTCATGCATTCAGAACGCATAGTTACGCAACATGCGTTTGTGCATGGCACACATAATTACGCAATGCGTAATTACGCACATGGGGAGCTGAGTGACGAGACGTTTTTGAGGCATGCTTCTGCTTCATACGGTGTTTGTATGGACCCAGTGAGGCGAGGACAACATCCGCTTCGCCCTTAACCCACTAAGCGACAGCCTTAAAGGGTGAAGCCTATACGAAATATAATGTTGGTTACGTACTGTAACCCCAGATTCTATGAGTATAGGCGTAGCCCTTTAAGCGTCGGGCCTCACTGGCTCCTAAATGGCTGAAGAAAAAGCTATTTTTGGGAGCCAATTTCCCGCTCTTAACGTAATTTATACGGACCGGGTGGGGCCCACACAGCAGGTGGATGTGGACTAAATTTTTCAGTGCGATGCTTTGCATATCAGGATAAACCCACTAAGCGACAGCCTTAAAGGATTTTCATTCGATTTTCGATTCAGAAATTATTTTTCTATTGAAATGGTCATAAATTTTGTTTCAATTATGTAACTGACGAGCTGAAAATATTAAACAACAATGTAAACAAATAGAACATTTATTTAAAACAATAATTTTAGGTTCTTTACTGTAGCAAATCTTTTTGCATCATTTTATATTTATACCAAAAACAGGAACAAATATAGGAGTGCATAACATTCTGTAATTTAAATTACTTGTATTAGGTTAGCTTATTTGCCTGGACTTTTATATAACAAAATAAAAAATAAACAAATAAAATCTAGGAATTAATAATCCATCCATCCATCATCTTTACCCACTTCTTTCTTTACGGGTCACGGGGGTCACTGGTGCCCATGTCCAGCCATCACTGTGCGAGAGGCGGGGGACACATGGACAGGTCTCCAGTCCATCACAGACAAATAATTTTAAATGTATAAATACATAAGTAAACAAACTTCAGCCTACCTAAGCGCATTAACCTTTAACTCAAAATAAAATAGACTTCACAGTTATTGTTAACCATATTGTTCTAACATTTGCTATATTTTCAAAACTTAACCTAATATGAAATATACAGACTTTACAGTCTTAACCATATTAATTCATATTTCATATTTAACAAAATTTCTAAACCTGTGCAAACCTGCACAAACACTCTTCTGAACTGTAATTTCTAAACCATCTAAACTGTATAATTTAAAACTGGCTCCAGGCGATGCGTCTCATCTGTCCTCTTCAACCTGTTTAAAAAGACAAATTACATTAAGTTTGTTGTACAACTTGTCTATTTAAGTTTTAGTATAATATGAGAAAAAAACGGTTACCTTTTGAGCTGAAGCTGCATCAGAGCATCTCCCACGTTATTCTTTGTTTCATGCATGCTGGAGCTGTGTGGAGCTTTATCTACATGAATGAGTATCTTATGTTGCTTCCAGCATATTAAAAATAAACTAAACCCCTCACCTTCCACTGAGCTGTCTGATCGTAAATTCTTTGTGATATAGCAGGAGATGGAGAGGAAAATCTTTTCAAACTTTGGAGAAGCCTGGAAGTTTGTTGCAGAGCTCGCTAGTTGGCTGCTTCGCTTTCATCTTGGGCGCATTTTGTCGCATTTCCAAAATACTGTACCGTAATTTTATTTTACACTTCTTGTAAACAACCATGCTCTTGTTAAGCTCTGTCTTCCCCCGGAACATTGTAGGATCTGAAATGATTTTTAAAGACGAAGGAGCGGGTTGAATCGCGTTGTCTCCCTGCTTCATGCTAGCAGACTCCATTCAGATAAAGGCAGCTGGCGAACTAGCTTGCTGTACGGTGGCCTACACGGCCCAACTCCACATCGGCTCAGCGGACACGTAATAATAATCATTTTATTTAAAAAGTGCCTTTCAGGACACCCAAGGACACTTGCAGTAAGAACAAAGATCAACAGGAATAAATTGCATAAAGAATATAAAATACATAAAGAATAAAAAATGCATACATAATATAAAATGCATAAAGAATATAAAGTACATACAGCAAAGTTAAGGATAAGCGAGTCTAAAGAGATGTGTTTTCAGAGCAGTCTTAAATAGAGAAAGAGAGGTGGTGTTTCTTAAGTCAGGGGGTAGAGAGTTCCAGAGATGATGGGCAGAGCAGGTGAAGGCCCTGCTCCCCATGGTGGAGAGGCGGGCAGAGGGTACATGGAGGTGTAGTGAAGAGGAGGATCTGAGAGAGCGAGAGGGGATGGAGATGTGTAAGAGGTCAGATAGGTACGGAGGGGCAAGGTTGTGGATAGCTTTGAAAGTGAGAAGAAGAATTTTGAAGACGATGCGTGATTTAACCGGGAGCCAGTGGAGCTGCTGCAGGACAGGAGTGATGTGGTTTATAGGAGGAGGTTTGAGTTATGACATGGGCAGCTGAGTTCTGGACCAATTGCAGCTTCTGGAGAGACTTGTTGGGGAGGCCATAAAGAAGGGAGTTGCAGTAGTCAATCCGAGAAGTCACAAGACTGTGAACAAGGATGGCTGTGGAGCGGGGTGTGAGAGAAGGGCGGAGACGGTTAATATTTCGGAGATGGAAATAGGCAGACCGAGTGACATTGTTGATGTGAGAAGTGAAGGAGAGAGTGGTGTGAGGATGACACCAAGACTCTTGACCTGAGTCGAGGGGGATAGCAGAGAGTTGTTAAGGGGGGTGAGAAGATTTTCTGATTTTGAAAGAGTTTTTGGTACAGACAAGAATGATTTCTGTTTTGTCACTGTTAAGTTGTAGGAAATTGTTAGAAAACCAGTGATTTAGCTCATTGAGACAGTCGTTGAGGATGGATGGAGGGTGGGTGGGTGGGTGGCGTTTGGTTTTGTTGACAAGTAGAGCTGTGTGTCATCAGCATAACAGTGAAAATGGACACCAAATTTATGGAAGATGTGACCTAGAGGAAGGAGGTAAATGATGAAGAGGAGGGGTCTGAGGACAGAGCCTTGGGGGACACCCGTGGAGACAGGGGAAGACTGGGAACGAAAGGATTTGAGCTGAATGAATTGAGTGCGGTCAGAGAGATATGATTTGAACCAGTCTAACGGAGTACCTGAGATGCCAATGGAGGTTAGTCTGTTGAGGAGGATAGAATGACAGATTGTGTCAATGCATATCGCATTGTGTAATGCGATATGCAGTATGCTCGGGAGTAGGAGCGGAAAAAATTTAAACTTAAACATATTTTAAAATCGATTTATGGGCCTTTAGAATCGATTCAGAATCGCCAGGACTAAGAATCCAGAATTTTATTTTTTTTTTTATCAAAAAAAAAAATTTTTCTGCGCCCCTATTTACTATCTTAATTCTTCTTGTGCACTAAAACCACTAAAGTCTTCTTCAGTGTCCAAATTGAACCGACTCAGAAAAACTTCATCACACATCCTCAGTTTCTCTTTCATTGTCGCTTTCAGTGTCACTTTCCTGTCGAGGCAAATTCACAATTTGATTTAGGATTCACAATCATTTTGAGTGGCTAGTACTTTGTGGTGCACAACGAGCGGGGCAACTCTTGTGGGTAGTGGAGGAAAGAACGAGCTGAGTGGTGAAACGAAGTTTATCGTCACAGTGGACCAATGAAACCAAGTTTCATTGGTCCACTGTGACGTGTTCAGTACTTTTTATTTATACAGGTAGTCTCATTGAGTCACGAGGACCCGCCACCAAGAGAGACGTGTTTTGGGCAGCTGTGTGAGTGCCCGGTGTGACGAGGCTAAAGGTTTTGGTGTCATGAATCTCGTTAGACCATCAAAAAAAAATCCCTAAATTAGCCACAGCATTGTATAAGGTGCGGTGTTCAAAGCGTGTGGAAAAAAATTTGCAGCTTATAGTCTTGAAATTACGGTACTCGGCTTCATCACTAGGAAGTCAACTTAGCTGTGGAATAACATGAGCTTGTTGTTTGCATCTTAATGCAGTTTGTGTTTCTGAAATTTTGATAATTGATTAAAAAAATTGCTAGTCCTGTATTTATAGTAGTATATTATTGTATATAGTTGTATTAGTATTATTAGTATATTAATATAGTAGTTAACTATTTTAGCTGTCTAAGACAAATTACATAAAGCCTTATTTTTTTAACAGAATAAAAGCTCAGCTCCAAAGTCCAGAGGAATGATAACATTTATTGAATGGATGCTTAGTATTTGACATGCGTGTTTGTCTTCAGATTCCCTGGGAGGCAACAGCCACACTCTGATGATTGCGTGCGTCAGTCCTGCAGACTCCAACATGGAGGAAACCATCAACACGCTGCGATATGCCGACAGAGCTCGCAAGATTAAAAACAAACCTGTTGTTAACATCGACCCCAAAACAGCTGAAATGAAACTACTGAGACAGCAGGTACAAAAATGAAAATTGTATGGGAAGCGGTATTGGATCTTTGAGCTATTCTGGGTTTTCAGCTTGAAAGGGGAATACTTCACTTGTTTATTTGGAAAAATAGTTTTTGTCTTGCTATATTTATGTCTTCATATTTATACCGGGTATATCAAAGCGAAGCATGAAGACCAATTTCAAATGCATAAAAACAAAGAATTTAGGGGATGAAGTGAAAATTGAGAGTTCAAGTGTGTGGTAGAGTAATACTAACAGAAGTACTTTCTGCTTTAGGTTCAGGAGCTGCAAGTGATGCTGCTGCATGCCCGAGGAGGAGTAGCTCCCGTCCTCTCCGGGTACAAAAATTTACTTTTCATTTCCAGATTCCTTCGGATATCAAATACATCCACTCGGCATGCATGTATGCTCGTAGAAAAAGGCCATGCTGGTTAAATTGTCCCTCGGTTCCAGGGCCGAGTCGGCTGAGAGCGCGGCCAAGCTGTTGGAAAGGAACCGCGCTCTGGAGGACGAGAACAACAAGCTGAGCAGAGAGCTGAGCGAGGCAGCTGGACAGACGGCCCTCATGTTTGAGAAGATCATCGTGGTGAGGCAGACTAAAGCTCAATTTACTCATAATTTCCAAAAGCCTTTTATTTTGTTTTAAAAATATATTTCTTCTGCTCAAAAGTTAATAATTGGAGCATGTGTGCTGAAGGGAACACATTTGTAAATGTGTAATAGTTTTCTCTCCACTTTGATGTTTTATTCTGGTTTGCTGCTGTTCATAGTTTTTTATGTTTGTTTCATTTTCCAGACAGAACAAGTAAATGAAAAACTGCAGAGCAAACTGGAACAGCTTGGGCACCACGCAGCGTAAGTTTTTATAAACCTAAAGCTAATAAAGGTTTGGGACAAACACGCAAGCTTAGCTTTTTTTCTTCTGTTTTTTTTACAGGCAGAATATTACATCACAAAATGTAGAAATTCCTCAGTTGTGCCCTTTCACCTACTCTAAACGTTCACTGTTGCACTGACTGTTTGTTTCTCTAACTGTGCCATGTTCTGGTTTGATTATTGATCGGTATGAACTCGGCAAAAAAATCATGGGAATGTGTGGATTTTACCAGCTGAGTGACGTGTTCAGTTTTCACTTCCCTTTGGTTTTTCTGTTGGACATTTGTCCTCCGTGTGTGTGTGTGACGTGTGTGTGTGTGTTTTGGATCATTGCAGAGATCAGTTTACTGTCAGTCTTGTTTAATTTCTCTAATTGACTACTTTGCTGATTGGTCACAATTTTTTTCTTATTTGCGTATTTGTCAGTCACCTTAGCAAATACGAAGTTTTGACTTGGACTTTGTGCTTTCAAAACTTAGCCTGTTAGTGATCAATGTATAACTTGTGGTAATCGTTTAAAATATGCAAGTGTAATAGCATAGAAAACTTTGGTAAAATTGCACAGATTGTAATGTATAGTCAGATTTGTCCTGTGTGTGTGTGTGTTGGGGGGGGGGGGGCACGTTTGATGAGCATTGTATGATATGCTGCACTTCGGCATTTTCAGTGTGGTTTAAACTCAAGTTGTGCCTCTAAGGCTGTTATTTGTTCATAGCAATTAAGACATGCTTTGATTCAGTGTTTCTATATGGAACAAGAACATCAACTCAACATTTTTGTTTTTGCTCCTATTCTGCATGAGCTGAACTCAAAGATCTAAGACTTTTTCTATGTGCACAAAAGGCCCTTTTCTCAAATATTGTCTATAATTTTGTGTGAATCTGTGTTAATGAGCACTTCTTTGCTGAGATAATCCATCCACCTAACAGGTGTGACATGTGAAGATGCTGATTAGACAGCATGATTACAGCACAGATGTTTCTTAGGCTGACTACAATAAAAGGCCACTCTAAAATGTGCAGTTTTATCACACAGCACAATGCCTCATATTTTGCAAGTTTTGAGGGATCATGCAGTTGGCATGCTGACTGCAGGAATGTCCATGTTCAGAGAATTTGGCAGAACATCCAACCAGCCTCACAACTACAGACCACGTGCAACCTCAACGGCCCCGGTGTTCTTTGTCCACACCATAACCCACTTGATTCACAATGTTGACATCAGCAAACAGCTCACCCACATGATGCCATACATGCAGTCTGCCATCTGCCCTGTACATGAAAACTGGGATTCATCTGTTTTTGTTGTTTGTTTGTTTTTTTTTCTCGCGCTCATTCAGCCTTTTATTTATACAAGCTAGCCTCATTGAGCCACAAGGACTCATTTACAAGAGAGCCCTGTTCCAGACAGAACATATAAAGTACAGACAACAATAACGGTAAACAATGACAACAATAAACAACAGTAAAAATGCAGTTAAAATAAAACTAGTGTATAAAACAATAATCAGGGTGCCGTAAACCAAAACAGGGTGAAATACTAAAAACGAGAACATATTTGCTTTGATTTTTCTATTAACATTATCAAATGTTTTTGAAACGCCCTAAATAAATCTAGGAGAACAACTTCAGTTCTTGTTGCAGGAGCTGAGTAGGAAAAGGCCTTTTTGCCAAGTTCAGTCTGCACTGAGGGAACGCTGCAGGTAACAATGGCCTGAGAGCACATGCTGTAACTGCACTGACTGTTCTCCGTGAAGAGAACACCTCCAACATGCCATACATCATTGAATGTGAGCATTTGTTCACTCAAGTCTGTGACGATGACTGCAGTCAGGTGGAGACCCTGATGAGAATGAGTATAAAGATGACTTCCCTGAGACGTTTCTGACAGTTTGTGCAGAAATTATTTGGTTATGCAAATCGATTGTTGCAGCAGCTGTCTGGGTGGCTGGTCTCAGATGATCGTGGAGGTGACGATGCTGGATGTCTAGGCTGGTGTGGTTACATGTGGTCTGCGGTTGTGAGGCTAGTTGGATGTACTGGTAAATTCTCTGAAATGGCTTATGGTAGAGAAATGACCATTCAATTCCCAGGCAACAGCTCTAGTGGACATTCCTGCAGTCAACATGCCAATTGCATACTCCCTCAAAACTTGCGACATATGAGGCATTGTGCTGTGTAATAAAACTGCACATTTTAGAGTGGCCTTTTATTGTGGTCAGCCTAAGGCACACCTGTGCAATAATCATGCTGTCTAATCAGCATCTTCATATGCCACACCTGTGAGGTGGATGGATTATCTCAGGGAGAAGTGCTCACTAACACAAATTTAAGAATATTTGAGAGTGAGTCGTAGATCTTTGAGTTCAGCTCATGAGGAATGAAAGCAAAAATAAAAGTGTTGCGTTTTGTTGTCCGGTGTATTATGCAGAGGTAAAAATATAAAGTTTATAACTGAGCTGAGCACAGACTTGAATCTGAATTGACATGTTACTAAAACGCATCACATGCCATGCCACAGTACCTTTTGACAAATATTTAGTTTTCAGTGGTTTTTGTCAGTTTTGTTTGTGTTGATCTAGCAAACATGTTTGAAACTACAATCTTTTGTTTATTTTTCCAGATGTACAGTTGATCTACAGAAAGTCCTGCAGACGCTGGAGGACCAGGAGCTGAAGGAGAACGTAGAGGTGCTGAAGAACCTACAAGACCTCATCTTGGAGCTCAAGGTGTTTGTCTTACATTACTATCCATTAAGTCAGTCTGAATTCATACTGGAGGCTAGAATTAACTAAACTGGGGGGAAATGCTGTATCTCCCCTGCCTGTATTTTAACATGGTGATTATTTATCTGAGCTGATGTGGCAGATGTTCATCTCCTGTAATTTTGTACTTTACTGTTTTTTCTTTGTAAGGATGAGAGCGCAGGCATCTCGGCCTCCATCAACGCCATGGTGGCAGGAGAAGAAGCTTCAAGAAGTGACGATACAAACTCCCCCGCTGAGTCTCAATCGGTACGTTTTCAACACACCCCTTTTTTATTCTATATATTTGTCTTCCCTCAGTCACGGAAAAGTTTAAATTAATAGATAGATATGTCAACTCTCAGTGTCGAGGGTTCAAATCCCGCTGTTTCTACCAAATTGTTGTGGGAACAATAAAAGGGGGGCAGATTTATTTTATTTATGTTTACATAAAAAGTATCAAACAAAAGAAAGAATAAAAACCTAGAGATTAACGGAGTTCAGCTGGAGTTTCAAACTGCAGAGTCTGTCTGCCCCACATCGTAAAACTGTCTTTTAAACAAAAGTCTTTACGCAAGCCAGAACAAGGGCACCAATTTAATCCCAACTGGAGGGCTGTGTCACTTTAGGAGCAGTATGACCTGACTTCAAACTGAGCAGATACATGTGCACCAAGCATGACAATTTTGTAACTAAATAATTTCAGAGGGCACTTCAGTATCTTATCTGTGTTTCTTAATTCTCTACAACAACGATATCATCACTTGCTGTATCTTATAACTAGAGCCCGACTGATAAGGAAATTTTGGCTATCACCAATATTGGAAGGGGAAGGCAACTGCCAATAACTAATATAATGGCAGAAAATTTTTGAGCTTTGTCCACCCCCAAGAATCGAAGAAAACAGCGAGTTGAGCAGGACTTGTTTCTTTAGTTCAGCTGTTGTCAACCATGAAGCTAAGCTAATCAGATCCACGCTAGGGCATTAACAGTACTCGAGTAATCTACACATCGATTGCTAGGACATCTATCGAGGTTAAAAATTTAACATCGAGTATCCGTAGTGACGTCATATTATGTGACCACCATATGACTGTAGGGGGCGGTGTTGCACTGTTGCAGGTCACAGAGTATGGTGTAACACCAGGTCCAATCCATTGAACCAGAACCAGTTTAGGTTTGTTTCTCTTTCTTCACGTTTGCAGTTTAATAATAATAACTAACAGTTTAGTTTTTCCTGTGACTTATTTGTAGTATGATAAATGGTAGGAGGATAATATACGCTCCCAATGTTTTGTTGGTCTTTTCTGTTGTAAATAATTACCTTTTTTTGCTGTTTTATTTATTTATTTATTTTTGTATCTTGAGATCTATGACGTCATCAAATACTTGAGTTCTACTCTGGTTTTATTATGTTAATGTCGAGTTTTAAAGTTATATACTCGTTCAACCCTAGGCTAAATGAAATGAAAAAAATCCACGCTACATGTAGTCCCACAGTAGGTCAGTGGTGCACTGGTCATAAAAACAGTCTTTTTAACACGCGTTCACATTTTCTATCCTCCACTATTCACCATAAAGTTCTCAAGTGTGTTACAAAAATATAAATTAAACAAATGTAGTGAACTAGGCCTCCGATCAAACCTGTCTCTGAAGACCTTCATGGGACAGGAACCGTTATTTCATTGATTTGAATCCAGAATTACAAATTGGCTCATCCAGAGACTTTCTAATTGTATCCTGAACTAATCAATTGAAAGAACACTCTCTTTTTTATATTATCATTACTATTTTACAATATCTTGATAATCAAAAGTGTGTTTAGTTCATACCATTTTTAAATGTTGAAGTGAACCACTCATTTTAAATCAACTGTGAAACAGTATTAATGAATTTTTAATCCTCATTCAAATTAGAAATCAAGCTAAATGTCTATTTTACAAAGTAATTATGCATTTTTGATCTTCTGTCTGAAATGAGAAGAGTGATGTCGGTCAAAAGTCGGAGACAGTCCAAAACAAGTTATTGGAACGAGCTGTCGTGTTTTTAAACCTCTCAGACAGAAATAAGAGAACTGGCACCTGCAGTGTTTTTCACCTCGTCAAAACATTTCTCTGTCTGTGCCTAAACATTTCTGCTGTTTTCTTGACTGGTAATGACCCTCTGACGTCACTAAAACCACACCCCTGTTGGTTCCTTCAACCAATCAGGACTTCCTAAAAGTGACCAGAAGCAGAACTCTTTAAAAGTCGACACTTCCGAGTTCCGTTAGTTCTTCTGGTTCTGATGGAGTTCGGCTGGAGTTCCTAAGAGTTCTTCTGAGTTTTTCTCAGACTCGGTCTTCTGAGTCTAGTTGGGATTATGGAGCCTTCCACATCTGAGTGGAACCTCTGACGGACTCACAGCTCGCTGTGTACCTACCCGGGAGGTGAGCGTGTTGTTGAACGGAGTACCGTCACTACTTCGGACGATTCTCAGCCATCCTAAGGAGACGCTGAAAGGTAGCGTTGAAATGGAACTCTGTACCGGAGCTGACCTATCTTCTGCAAAGGTAACGAGTCGCTTCACTACCTAGTGTACCGGGTCTGAGCTGGGGTCGGATGAAGGGTGCCATTCCTCGTCAACACACTTTCTTCCTCCACATTTTCTCTACATTTAAACTCCTTCATTTCCCATCTTTAAAACTCTTCTATCTTGCCAGTAATCAATCCAGATATCTTCAGAAATGTCTGTTGTTTTTATTAAGTAAAACGTGCCAAGTTTTATTAATCAGAGCCGATCAGTATAATCAAGTGTACAATGTTTTGATGTTAAATTTTGATTCTGTTAATAAATGACCATGTAGTATGAACATATGCTGTCATATATTCATAGATAAAACGGATTCTTTCATTTTTCTGGACTGTATAATGACGTGCATCTGAATTTAATAAAATGTGGACGTGAGACGTTAATTATCTTTGACTCACCAACGACAGTGGGTCATTTATTAACAGAATCAAGTTTAACACATCACACATTTACATTAATTGGCAAAAATTGAAAATAACGACAGCTTATTAATCAGTTTTTACAGGAAGTAAACAATACGGCGATTGTTTTCTCACTTCCAGCAGAACAGCAGACATTAACCACACGGCGGTGATTTGAAAAACTTTGCTTCAGACATTTCTAAAAATATCTGTAATGATTTTTAGCAGATAGAAGAATTTTAAAGATGGGAAATGAAGTTTAAGTTGAGAGAGATGTGTGAGGGAATTTGTCTGTCCTAACCAGAACCAGCACGCTCCTTCTTTTCCAGCTTGGCCCAACGGTACGCTTGGTTGAGATCGACTCTTTTACCTTTGCAGATGATAGTTTCAGCGTTGGTGTAGAGCTCTCCTTTCAACTCTTTCAGCGTCTCCGTAAGAACAGCTAAACCTCGGGAGTCGTGAGATCATCCAGAACAGAAATTTCATAATTCCCAGATCTTCTCTCGTTCAGCTTGATTTTTCTTTCATCAGCATCCTGAATTCCAGCCTTCATGAACTCTGGAACTGCTGTTAACTAGGAAGTGCTGCACCTTTTAAGAAGGGTCACTTCCGGTTCATTTGAGGACTTTCTGATTGGTCGAATGGACCAAACAGAGGTGTGTTTTGTGATGTAAGGTGTTATGAAAAGTCAAGGAAAAAGATTAAGATTGTTTAAGAACAGACAAAAGATATTATGAAGAACTCAGACTTCGTGGAGTCAATTCTCTAGTATCTTGCTGTAAAAGTTAAACATGACATTTCTTTTTCAGTAAACTTGCAGTTGACCGAAACTTGAACTTTGACCAACTTACACACTTGCTCACTTCAAACAGATGATCAAGAAATTGAATCATTACTCTGTAACATATTCCAACTTGATTTCACTTTGAATGAGGATTAAGAATCATTATTACTGTTTCACAGTTAATAAAAATGAGTAGTTCACTTCAACATTTAAACATTGTTTGAACTAACACAATTTGATTATCAAACATTTGTAAAATAGTAATGATAATAGAGAATAGTCTTCTTTCACTTGATTAATTCAAGAAAGAAAGTCTCAGGATGGGTCAACCTGTATTTCTGGATGCAAATCAATGAAATGACAAGTTCTGTCCCATAAGGTCCTTAAGGTCAAATCCTGACCTTAGGCCTAGTTCACTACAACCACATTTATTTTGATGGGTCAAAGAAAATTAACGTCTCATGTCACTGATTAAACCATCGACAACACAGTACCTCTGTCACATATCTGTCAAGTAGCTCGAAAAAGAGAGAACCCGTTATTAAAGTATGACTGTAGTGGAGCTCTGAAGCTCACCAAGCTAATCTAGCCTTTAGCATACTACACAAAGAAACACACTTCTCTGTTCATTATTTAAACAGTCACATATGGAGAAGACGTAATTAGTGCATTTCACTGAGGACGACAAAGATAACGTTATTAACACAGATATATTTTACCTCTGCGACTGTGTATGAGTTATTGTTCTGGATAAAGTTTTACAAAGCAATAGCCTATGCTAGGTTATCTAAACGTTAGCTTGTTAACTTGAGAGGCACGTAGCTAATGACAAGCAGGTTGGAGGATTGAAGATAATTTATATTTGTTTTATTTTACAGATCAGTTAAAATAAACTTGTCATGCTCTGATCAGCAAAATATGCTACACAGTATTGCCCCCTGCTTCGTCTGTGCTGAATGTGAAAGTGAAACTTAAGGGCAATGACTTGAAAGTGTAGTCTTCATGTGCCCTCTGCTGGATACATTGTACGATTATGGCTGGTTCCATTATTTTAGCGGAGAAAATTAAAAGCGCTTATGCTGGCGCATAATGGAACATTTATCATAGATACTGATAGGTCCCCAAACGTCTATTGGCCTAAATTATTGACTCTACCGATATATTGGTCGGTCTCTACTTAGAACCACATATTACTTTATCATCCCATTTCTAACAATCTTTATCTCCTTTAAGGATTCTCCAGAGAACTTCACGGCCCATCATGCACTGCGGCAGGCTCAGCTCTCCAAAGAACTGATTGAGCTCAACAAAGTGTTGAGTTTGAAGGAAGCCTACGTTAAGAAAATGTGTGAGAATGACAGTCAGCTGGAGCCGATGCACCAGGTGAGAGGATTCATACCGGGCTTGAAATTAAACAGGCCATGTGGTTAATTCAAAGCAAGTACCTTAGATTAAAATAAAAGAAACAAATGTTTATATCTTACTTTGTGCTTTTTTGGTTAAAGTGAGTTCATTATGTATAATTTACTGGTGAACAATGTCCTATGTGTTTTTTGTAAATTAATCTACAAATACATTTTAACACTCTCAACAGGCACTACTGTTTTTTTAAACAACTCTAAGCAACATTTTGTTGGATATTATATTTATTTTCTCCATGTTTTACAGAAAAATGCCCAAGCTCTTCAGTCATCAGTGGATTCCCTGCAGAAGGAGAAAGAGGAACTCATTTTAGCTCTTCAGTCAGCAAAAAAAGACACCAACCAGGCCAAGTATGAAAATATTTTTGATCTGGCTGTACCTGTAGCAACATTGCTCATAAGATACAATCAGAGCAGTTTCATGTAATTCATATGTAATTTAAAAAGCCTGCTCTCAGTTCCCTTTTTATTCCTCAACCTTCATTAACTCCATCCAGACTCAGTGAGCAGAGGAGGAAGAGACTTCAGGAGCTTGAAGCTCAGCTCGTAGACATGAAGCGGAAACTTTTTGATCAGTCTAAACTGCTGAAACTCAAAGAATCATCTGCTCAGAAAGTCAGCAAGCTCATGCAGGAGATACAGGTGACCAAAACTGTTTCTAAAATGCAATATTTCATTTAAACTAACAGTTTTCACATTGGTTTTCTGAGCAAACCTGTAACCTTATAACAATTAAAATAAAACTGCAGACTTTGTAAATGCAACATATGAGTTAAACTTTGAGCTAGTTTTCAGTTTTACCTAAATGTGTGGAATATTATAACGTCAAACTTTTCAGTCCGTAGTCTTTGTTATGGAGCAAATCTGCTTTGTTCTCTCAGTCTATGAAGACCCAACGAATCCAACTTATGAAGCAGATGAGGGACGACTCTGAAAAATTCAGACAGTGGAAGAACAAGAAGGACAGGGAGGTCCTGCAGCTAAAGGAAAAGGTGTGTGGTAGAAAACGAAAGTTACGTATGTAACTACGGTTCTATGAATCCCGGATGACCACCAGAGGGCGGTGCTGAAAGCACTGAATGTTCTCTTCGCGCATACGCTGTTCGAGTAATAATACCAACGGAGTCACAGGTGTGACATGGATGACCAATCAGAGGCTATATAGCCCGACGTCATCCACAGCTCTGCTCCTACAGAATCTTCTCGCGGAATGCAAGGATTCTGAGTGACTGACAGAGAAGCTCTGGCGGTCATCTGGGATTCATAGAACCGTGGTGCTGATGGCACTGAATGACTAATACCAACAATGTCACAAGGAATCTTAAGCACTCACCTCACTGAGGAGGCCCAGAGGACCCTTGTAGAAGGGCCTGGCCCAGGGGATGAGGGGTGGCAACGTTAACGCTGTAAAATCTGGTGAACGTGCTGGAGGAAGCCCATGATGCAGCAGCACATATTGCTTCCAGCGGAACCCCTCTCAGGGCAGCCCAGGAAGCGGAGATGCTCCTGGTAGAGTGTGCCTTCACGCCAACCGGCAGGGGGCCGGGCCCTGCAGCATAGGCGTGGCAAATGACAGCCACGATCCAGTGGGAGAGGCGCTGTTTGGAAAGAGGACAGCCTAACCTAGGGCCTCCATAACACACAAACAGCTGGTCTGAATGTCGTATCACGGCAGTAGCTGCAACGTATGCCTCCAATGCCCTCACCGGGCACAATAATCCAGACCTCTCACCAGGCATAGGCTGAAAATGTGCCAGCCTCAACGGTTGGTTACAGTGAGAGTGAGATAACACCTTTGGTACAAATGCAGTGTTTGGCCACAAGGTAAAAAAAGAGCCCTCAGGGCCCCACCTGAGACATGAGGGGCTGACTGAGAGCATGTAGCTCGCTGACCCTCTTTGCTGAGGCAATAGCCAACAAACAAGCCATCTTACATGAAAGCCACTTGAGGTCCGCCTGTGTCAGAGGCTCGAAAGGAGGGAGGCACAGAGCTTTGAGAACCAAGGGCAGGTCCCAACCTGGTGCTCGTGGAGCGGTCAGCGGGTGTGACCTACGGGCACCACACAGAAAAAGAGAGACTAGATTATGGCTCCCTACCATACAGCCATCAATGCCTGTGTGATTAGATCATATTGCCCCTACATAAACTTTAAGCGTCGAAGGAGAGCGACCCTTACCAAGGAGAGACTGGAGAAACTCCAGAATGGTGAGTACTGTACAGGAGCTTGGATCCTCGTTGTGATCAGAACACCATTGTGCGGCTGTGGCTGAGTGGTTAGAGCAGTCGTCCTCCAATGCGAGAGTTGGGGGTTCGAATCCACCAGCAGTCACGTATCGAAGTGTCCCTGGGCAAGACACTGAACCCCTCATAGCCTCTGATGTGTGTCCTATCGGTGTATGAATGTGATAAAGCTCTGATTAGTCTCTTTAGAATGATTTGTTCAATTAGCTTTGTAGAGATCTAGTAGAGTGCTGTATGAACGGGTAAATGAGGACACAGATTGTAGTGGAAAACGCTTTGAGTATCTTGAAATAAGATAGAAAGGCGCTATGTAAGTACAGTCCATTTACCATTCCATTTACCATTGGGAAAACAGACGCCACCTGTTTTCATACTGCTGACGAGTAGAGGGTGCTCTGGCGCCCAGGATGGTGCGTCTGACGGGGCTCAAAACTCCAGTCAGCTGCTGTCCTAGCCTCGCAGTGGCCACACCCACAGCCAAAGACGTTGAGGATTGGGGTGCCATATCAGTCCCCCCAACTGAGACAGCAAGTCTCCTGGTCGGAAGACACCGTGGAACGCCCTGACATAGACTCGTAGTAGTGGGAACCATGGTCGTGCTGGCCAATATGGAGCCACCAGCAGCATCCTGTGGCCCTCCTCCAGGACTCTGAAGGGTTGGCCAAATTAGAGAAAGGGGTGGAAAGGCATGTAGGAGGACCCTTGGTCAAGGATGAGCCAATGCGTCCTGACCCAGTGCACCCGACGCCCCCATAAGAGAGTACCATAGGGGACACTGAGTCGACTCTTCTGTCGCAAACAGGTCTATCTCTGCCTGACCAAAACGGTCCCAGATCATCAGCACTATGTCGCTGTGGAGGAACCACTCTGCCGGAGCGGACCCTTGGCGGGAGAGAAAATCTGCGACCCGATTATGTCGTCCTGGTTAGTACACTGTCCGCAGGGTGGACAGGTGAGGAGAGGCCCATTCCAGGAGCTCTCTGGACACTCTCAGAAGTTGTGCTGACTGGGTGTCCCCCTGTTGGTTGATGTGGTAGACGGAGGTGTTGTCTGACCAAATGAGAACATGCCCCCCTTCCAAGTGAGGCAGGAAGTGCCTGAGTGCCAAGTGCACTGCACGCAGCTCCAGCACATTTATATGCCTGGAGCAGTCCTTTTGATCCCAGCGGCCCTGAACCGCTCTGCGTTGCCACACAGCACCCCATCCCATGGAGCTGGCATCTGTCGTGACCACTTCCCTGCGACACACTACCACTCCCATGGGGACACTCCTGGACAAATAATCTTCGACCCTCCATGGAGTCAGGCATGAAGATATGACCACGTCACTGCGAGCATGCAATGCCTGTGCAGCCTGGCATCCAGGCGAAAGCTGTTGAGCCACCTTTGCAAGGAGCAAAGTGACAGCAGGCCTAAGGGCACCACCCGAGTGACTGACGTCCGTTTACCGAGTAGTTGCAAGAAGGCATCATAGGGGAGCTGCCTGCCCAGCCTGAACCGACTGACCAGCTGGAGTATGTTGGCCACCCTTTGAGCGGATGAGCAAGCTCTCATGGAGGATGAATCCAGAACCACCCCAAGAAGGATGGTTGTCTGGGAAGGGATCAGGCAGCTCTTCTCCAGGTTGGCATTGATGCCCAACTAGGACACATGAGCAAGCAGGCGGTTCGTGTTGTGAAAGGCACAGGCCTGAGACGGGGCGCAAAGAAGCCAATCATCTAAGTACGGCAGAACCTTCACTCCGTAGGCCCGCAGAGGAGAGAGGGCTGCCTTCACGCACACCCTCTGGGAAAGAGAGAGCCCGAATGGGAATACCTGGAACTGCCAGTGGTGACCCCGATTGGCAACCCTGAGAAAGCGGCGATGTTCTGCCGCAATAGGCACATGAAAATGCGCATCTTTCAGGTCTACAGACGAGAACCATTCTCCCCTCCTGACAGCTTGAAGGACTTCTGCAGTCGTGACCATGTGGAAGGGCAGCTCCCTTAGGTACTGGTTGACTCTCCTCAGATCTAAAATGGGACAAAACCTGCCCGTCCTCTTTTGCATAAGGAAGTAAGTCGAGTAATAGCCTCTGGGTTGTTTCAGAGGGTCCACTGCCTCGATTTCGATTGCGCCCTTCGCCAGGAGGGCGGAAAGCTCCTGGACTAGTGCTTGAGCTTTCACCTGGTCGGCGATTACAGTCATCTTGACCTGGCGTGAGATATGAGGCCGCCGTCAGAACTGTAGCCGGTAACCATAGGTCAGAGTGGCAACCACCCATGGGTCCACGGCATGAGCAGCACAGTAACTGAACCGCTGGTGGAGAAATATCTGACGGCCGGCCGGATGGCATCATCGTCTCCCTCCACGGTTCAGGTATCGGGATCGGATCGGAAGTAAAAAATAGTGGATCGTGCATCCCTAGTAATAAGCAAACTTGGAAGCACAGTCCAACCGACCACGCGGTTGGAGGCCTCCAGTAAACGGTAGCGGACGCTACCGCTAACCAACGGCGAAATATAAGAAAAAACACTACTCACCTGTGTTGAATCACACATAGTAGTCAGACGCTGTAAGTTGGGAGAGGCGGAAACCGTCGTACAACCCAAAGAATCAGCAGAAATACCTTTTGAACAGGGTTAAACAGTCGCAGCCCCTAGGAGGGCAAACACGCTACTCCCGCCAACGGGCAGTCGAGCTTCCGACGATGGTTAAAAAGTTCAAAAAAGGGCTGAAGCCCTGAATTGAACCTCGCAAGAAAAAAAGGAGCAGAGCTGCGGATGACGTCGGGCTATATACCCTCTGATTGGTCATCTGTGTCACACCTGTGACTCTGTTGGTATTATTACTCAAACAGCGAATGCGCGAAGGGAACATTCAGTGCTTTCAGCACCTTCCTCTGGTGGTCAGGAAGGATGAAAAAAACTTGGTTTTGAAGTTCTGCGTCGGATAATCTACACTCATACTTTCACTTTAAAGAAGCATTTAATACTGTAGCTTTCTCTCCTTTTCAGTACCATAAGTTTGTTTGTCTTGCAGGATCGTAAGAGGCAATATGAAATGCTGAAACTTGAGAGAGATTTTCAGAAACAAGCCAATGTCCTGCGTCGTAAAACTGAAGAGGTGACGTCTGCCATTTGCATTTTCTGTTATGCACCTGATAAGTTATGTTGTATAAGGGAGTTACTGTTGTGAGAAATGATCCAAAACACTTTGAAAGTAGTTTGTTTTATTGGATTTCAGGCAGCAGCAGCAAACAAGAGACTGAAGGATGCTCTGCAGAAGAGAAGTGAAGTAGCAGATAAGCGCAATGCTCAGAGCAGAGGCACTGAAGGAGCTGCTGCACGAATCAAAGTACTGCTGCTTTGTTGCAATGACTAACAATGTCACTGTTGTTTGCTTTTAGGTTTGAGAAATTAAGAGTTACAAATATGTTAATGTTTTTGTCTTCAAACGTTGAGTGTGCAGAGCGTTCATTGTTTGCTGAAGTGTCGTGTGCATTCTTTCAGACTTGGCTGCTCAACGAGGTGGAGGTGATGGTGAGCACGGAGGAGGCCCGGCGTCACCTCAACGATCTGCTAGAGGACCGAAAGGTCCTGGCTCAGGAGATCAGCCGCCTCAAACAGCAGATTGAGGCCGGGGAGAAGCCCGCTTCCAAAATTAGGGTGAGCTGAAACATCTGGACTGCTGCACATTAAAAAGGGAACATTAGTATAGATGCACTGATCCGATACCAACTTCAATATCGGTCCCGATATATATCGAGGGGGGAAAAACAACTTCTGGATTGGATATCGGTGATAATGTGACCGATCTATGACTGGGCAGATCTATTCATTCTAATTCTATGCTTTTTGCTCTGAGTGACGTCATGAGCTAGCGAACTCACCGCACAGATTGTTTTCGAAATGAAGCATGCGAAAGGATCAGCCATTTGGAACTATTTCACACTACCTCAGCCAACACATTTGACAGCTACATGCAATACGTGCACAGCGACGGTTTCATGGGGTGTCACTAAAACTTCCAGTTATAACACTACCAACTTAATCAAGCATCTCCAGAGATTTCACCCTAAAGAGCACACCAAGTTTGTTGAACGGAATTTAGCACTGTTTTTCTGGATCGGATCGGTATCGGTCGATACTGAACCGCAGATATCTGTATCGGAAGTGGAAAAAGTGGATCGGTGCATCCCTAGACATTAGATGAAAAATACCAGCAAAGAAAATGTCTTAACTTCTGTCTATGGGCGTGTTTTTTGTAGCGTCGGACACTTCTAATCTCTGAGCTGGAGAGACCGGGGGCACTGGAGACCCCACTGTCCAAACAGCTGGAGAACTTGGAGACAGAAATTGGCCTCAGGTAAGAACAGAGGAACATCTGATTACTAACGTTTGCTAAGGACTTAAACATTCCCTTACCGATTTGTGATTTCCACTCCGCTCATTCAATTTGGCTGTAACTTGGTCAGTTGTACAGATATTGAGCTAGACTTTAGTATGGTAGTTGCTGAGAGTGACAATCAGCATATATTTGGAAACTTCCAAGGCAACAGGTGATTTTAAAGAACTGCTAGTCCATTTATGAATTTATCAACTAGTCAGTCATATTAATTGGATTCAAATTTACTGGTGTAGTTCAGTCTCATTTTGTAATCTGTGATTTTTTTTTTTTTTTTTTTTTTTTTATTTAGCCTTTATTTATCCAGTTTGGTCTCTTTGAGCCACGAGAACTCATTTTCAAGAGAGACCTGTTTTTTTTAGGGCGCACATGGTGGGGGTTAAGGGCCTTGCTCATGGGCCCAGAGTGGGGTGAATGAGGGTGGGGGCAAGTGTGGGTGTTTCACCTACCCCACCCACAATTTTTGATGTTTTCGGGCTACATTAACTCTGCACATAACAGTGGCCCAAACTTGCTTTTTAGTATTTCTTCTAACTTGATCCATCCATCCATCCATTATCTTCCTCTTGTTCTGAAGTTGGGTCACGGGAGCAGCATCTTGAGCAGGGAGGCCCAGACATCTCTTTCCACAGCCACCTCTTCTAGCTCTTCTGGGAGGATTCTAAGGAGTTCCCAGGGTTTTCCCTGGGATCGCCTCTCAGTCAGACATGCTCGAAGCACCTCCCAAGGGAGGCGCCCAGAAAGCAACTTTACCAGATGCCTGAATCACCTCAACTGGCTCCTCTCGATGTGGAGGAGCAGCAGTTCTACTCAGTCTCTCCCAGATAACTGAACTTCTCACCCGATCTCTAAGAGAGAGTCCAGCTACCCTTCAGAGGAAACTCATTTCAACTGCCTGTATCTATGACCTCATTATTTCTGTCATTACCCAGAACTCATGACCATAGGTGATGGTAGGAACGTAGACTGACTGGTAAACAGAGTTTTGTATTACAGCTCAGCTCTCTTCACCACAACGGACCGGCACAGAGTCCATAATACTGCAGACACTGCACCTATCCGTCTGTCAATCTCATGCTCCGTTCTTCCCTCCCTCATGAACAAAACCCCGAGATACTTGAACTCCTCCACTTGAGGCAGAACCTCACTCTTGACCTGAAGAGAACAATCCACCCTTTTCTGGTTGAGGACCATGGCCTCAGATTTGGAGGTGCTGATTCTCATCCCTGCCACTCCACACTCTGCTGCAAACCACTCCAGTGAGAGTTGAAGATCACAGTACGATGACTCAACAGGACCACATCATCTGCAACGAACAGAGATGGAATCCTGAGGCCACAGAACCGGACTCCCTCCACCCCTGCTACACTGAGAAATTCTGCCCATAAAAGTTATGAACAGAATCGATGACAACGGGCAGCCCTGACGGAGAACAACTCTCACCCTGAAGGGGTCCGACTTTATCCATCCATCCATCCATCCATTCTCTTCCGCTTATCCGTGGCCGGGTCGCGGGGATAGCAGCCTAAGTAGGGAGGCCCAGACTTCCCTGTCCCCAGCCACTTGGGCCAGCTCTTCCAGGAGAATCCCAAGGCGTTCCCAGGCCAGCTGAGAAACATAGTCCCTCCAGCGTGTCCTGGGTCTTCCTCTGGGCCTCCTCCCGGTGGGAAGTGTCCAGAACACCTCACCAGGGAGGCATCTAGGAGGCTTCCTAACCAGATGCCCGAGCCACCTCAACTGGTTCCTCTCGATGTGGAGAAGCAGCGGCTCTACTCTGAGTCCCTCCTGGATGATGGAGCTTCTCACCCTATCTCTAACAGAGAGCCCAGACACCCTGCGGAGAAAACTCATTTCGGCCGCTTGTATCCGAGATCTTGTTCTTTCGGTCACAACCCAAAGCTCGTGACCATAGATGAGAGTAGGAACGTAGATCGGCAGGTAAATTGAGAGCTTCGCCTTTTGACTCGGCTCTCTCTTCACCACGACAGACCGATACAGTGCCCGCTTCACTGCCGACGCTGCATCTGTCCGCCTATCGATCTCACGCTCCATTTTTCCCTCATTTGTGAACAAGACCCCAAGATGCTTAAACTCCTCCACTTGGGGCAGGACCTCATCCCCGACCTGGAGAGGGCACTCTACCCTTTTTCTGGCTCAAGACCATGGCCTCGGATTTGGAGGAACCAATCCTCATCTCGGCCGCGTCACACTCTGCTGCAAACCGCTCCAGCGAAAGCTGTAGATCACGACCTGATGATGCCAAAAGGACCATATCATCTGCAAAAAACAGAGAAGCAATCCTAAGGCCACCAAAATGGATCCCCTCAACACCAAGGCTGCGCCTAGAAATTCTGTCCATAAAAGTTATGAACCGAATCGGTGATAAAGGGCAACCTTGGCAGAGTCCAACTCTCACTGGGAACAAGCCCGACTTACTGCCGGCAATGCAGACCAAGCTCTGACACCGGTTGTACAGGGACCTAACAGCCCGTATTTTTTTTTTTCATTTAGCCTTTATTTATCTAGGTTAGTCTCATTGAGCCACGAGAACTCATTTTCAAGAGAGACCTGTTTAGGGAGCACATGGTGGGGGTTGAGGGCCTTGCTCATGGGCCCAGGGTGAGGCGAGTGAGGGTGGGGGCAAGTGTGGGTGTTTCACCTACCCCACCCACAATTTTGATGTTGTCGGGGCCGGGGCGTGAACCGGCGATCTTCGGATCACAGGCCCACCTCTCTAACCTCTGCGCCACCACTCCCCCAAGGCTTGGTACCCCATACTCCCAGAGTACCCCCCACAGGGCTTCCCGAGGGACGCGGTCAAACGCCTTCTCCAAGTCCACAAAGCACATGTAGACTGGTTGGGCAAACTCCCACGCACCCTCCAGGACCCTGCTGAGGGTGTAGAGCTGATCCAGTGTTCCACGACCAGGACAAAAACCGCACTGCTCCTCCTGACTCCAAGGTTCGACTATCCGGCAGACCTTCCTCTCCAGAACCCCCGAATAGACCTTCCCAGGGAGGCTTAAGAGTGTGATCCCCCTGTAGTTGGAACACACTCTACGGTCCCCCTTTTTGCATAGGGGGACCACCACCCCAGTCTGCCAATCAAGGAGAACTGCCCCTGTTGCCCATGCAATATTGCAGAGTCGTGTAAGCCAACACAACCACACAACATCCAGAGCCTTAAGGAACTCCTGGCTAATCTCATCCACCCCTGGGGTCCTGCCACCGAGGAGCTTTTTAACCACCTTGGTGACCTCAGCACCAGAGATTGGAGAGCCCGACCCAAAGTCCCCAGGCTCTGCTTCCTCAGTGGAAGACGTGCCGGTGGGATTGAAGAGGTCTTAGAAGTACTCTGCCCCACTGTCGTGGGTCGGTGGGCAGACGGACAGACAGACGGCAGAGTTGAGGTCAGCAGCACACCACCTCCACTATAAATAGTGTTGGTGGCATACCACTTTCCTCCCCTGAGATGCCGGATGGTGGACCAGAATCGCCTCGAAGCCGTGCGGAAGTCATTCTCCATGGCCTCTCCGAACTCCTCCCACGCCTGAGTTTTTGCCCCAGCGACAACCCGAGCTGCATGTCGCTTGGACTGCCGGTACCCATCAGCTGCTTCCGGTGTCCCACAGGCCAAAAGACCCGATAGGACTCCTACTTCAGCTTGACAGCATCCCTCACTGCCGGTGTCCATCACCGGGTTCGAGGGTTACCGCCGCGACGGGCACAGACAACCATGAGGCCATAGCTCCAATAAGCCGCCTCTACAATAGAGGCGCGGAACATGGCCCACTTGGACTCAATGTCCCCCGCCTCCCCTGGAACGTGTTCAAATCTCTCCCAGAGGTGGGAGTTAAAGCTCTGTCTCACGGGAGACTCTGCCAGACGTTCCCAGCAGACCCTCACAATAGGTTTGTGTCTGCCAGGTCTGACCGGCATCCTCCCCCACCATCTGAGCCAGCTCACCACCAGGTAGTGGACAGCTCCACCCCTCTCATCACCAGAGTGTCCAAGACATGTGGTTGCAGATCAGATGAGACAAGAACAAAGTCGATCATCGAACTGCAGCCTAGGATGTCCTGGTGCCAAGAGCACATATGGACACCCTTATACCTGAAAATGGTTTTCGTTATGGACAATCCATAACGAGCACAGAAGTCCAATAACAGAACACCACTCGGGTTCAGATCAGGGGGGCCATGCCTCCCAACCACACCCCTCCAGGTTTCACTGTCATTGCCCACGTGAGCGTTGAAGTCCCCCAGTAGAACAAGGGAGTCCCCAGGAGGTGCACTCTCCAGTACTCCCTCCAAGGACTCCAAAAAGGGTGGGTAATCTGGGCTGCTGTTTGACGCATAAGCACAAACAACAGTCAGAACCCATCCCCCCACACGTAGGCGGATGGAGGCTACCCTCTCGTTCACCGGGGTGAACCCCATTTTACAGGCACCAAGATGGGGGGGCAACAAGTATGCCCACTCCTACTCGACGCCTCTCGCCAGGGGCAACTCCATAGTGGAAGAGTGTCCAACTCAAGGAAACTGGTTCCAGAGCCATGCGTTGAGGTGAGTCCGACTATTTCTAGACGGAATCTCTCAACCTCCCAGACCAGCTAAGGCTCCTTCCCCACCAGAGAGGTGACATTCCACGTCCCAATAGCCAGCTTCTGTAGCCGAGGATCTGACCGCAAGGGTCCCCGCCCTCGGCCACCACCAGGTATTTTTCATATTATGTGGTAATAAATCAGATACATATCCAATGTTTTTCAAAGCGAGCTGTGTCTTTATGTTCATGTCCCATTTCATCCACTTGAGTTGAGGGGTGGGGGGAATCTGCTGATACCAGCGTCCAGTTTTCAATTGTAAAAGCTCTCTGGATGGGAAGCAAAATATTTAAATTACAGTACAGTTGCTTGATCTTTCTTTGTGGATTTGCCATTGTCTACACCATAAGATGCCAACATTTATGTTAGATCTTATTGTTACTAGCGCCATAGGATCAATACTTGAGTTTGTTTCTCTCCTACTTTCGGTACGTCCCTCATGACGTGTAGCTCCTATATTTATTTCAATAAACGGAGCATGCTGCATATGACGTCTCATCATCTTCTGCACATGCGAGTCACCTCAGAAACAGAAATCTCTCAGGGAAAAAAACACATAACACCTGCAGTGAGAACGTGGTCTTACCCTCCTGCTGTTTTTTTTTTAGCAAAAAGTGCGCTAGCTATTAAGATTGACAAGAATTTTTTTGTGTGCGTATTTTGTGGAGGGATGGTTTTATATGCAAATGTCTCTGTAATATTACATTTTAACTGCATTATTTTGTCTTAAAAAGGCCAACAAATGCACATTTCTCATGGTTCTTTGTAAATTTAACCTGGAGTCTGTGCTGACTGACAGCTCTTCACTTGTGCTTTAAAGTGCCTTTGACATGCACATCTCTTGCCAAGTGAAGATATTTGGCATAATTCACATGATTTTACCCATTTTGTCACACAATTTTTAATTTTTTTTAACTTGTTGCAGCCAGAGTCAAACAGGAAATAATGCCTTCTACACTTAAAATTTATTTTTTAAGTTTTAAACTGGTTGAATACTGCCCCCAACAGCATTTTAATTACTGAGTTGGCATATTTATAAGCAGCTTCAAGCAAAAGCTTCTTCGAGGATTCAAAGTTCTTTAATTTCATTAATTCAACCTTTCTTTATACAGGTTAATCAGGTTTATACAAGTTTATTGTCATTCGCATCACATGTGGAACATGAGGTGGAACAAAATTGTGTACACAGTGTCCCAGTCACATCTAACAAAAGTATAAACTGTAAAAGAAAAACGGTAAGATCTAAGATAAGAACTAAGAAATACAGCAACTAAATTTCCTGTTTTTCCTGTTTTTAGTTTTCTACATTCGCCTTATAATCTAGCTGTTTTTATTACTTTTTTTTGCCATCTTATTAAAAAAAAACTGTATGCCTTTTTATAACTGTCTATTGTTGTCTCTGTTGTCCATTGTTGTCATCATTCTTTGTTGAAATCAGGTCTCTCTTGTAAATGAGTCCCCGAGGCTCAATGGGATTTACTTGTCTAAATAAAGGTTGAATGAATGATAAAAAATAATACACTTAGCACTAATAGCATCACAAAAACGATACGCCGAACAGCAGCACGAACTTGAGTCTGTGTGAGCAGATGAGCACAAATGAACACGGCAACATGAAACAGATCAGCAGCAACATGATGTGATTTTTCACAGTGATTATTTTAGTTAGAGATTAATGAGTCTAACAGCTTCAGGGTAGAAGCTGTTCCTCAGTCTAGTGGTTCTTCACTTAATGCTCCTCAATCTCCTTCCTGAGGGGAGTGGGGCAAAAAGTGTGTGTGCTGGGTAAGTGGTGTCCTTCATGATGCAGGTGGGCCTCTTCCTGCATCTCGAGGTGAAAATGTCTGTTATGGTGGAGAGGCTGACTTCAACAAACTTCTGTGCAGCCTTCACCACTCTCTGCAAAGCTTTTCATTCTGCAGTTATATTATACGCATTGCATGGGTTTATTTATTTAAAAAAATATATATGAAGTTTTCTTAAATTATACTTTTCCAACAGGAATGCCCAAATAGCTGACCTGCAGCAGAAAGTACTGGTCGCAGAAGGCGAGGGACGTTTAAAACAACGAATTGATGGCATCACAAGCATCGCTGAAGCAAAGTGTGCTTTAAGGATTCTGATGGCTGAGGTGCAAAATGCTGAGACAGCATTATAAATGTCATTGTTTGTTTCTCAAACATACAGTATCTCCTCATATTTGGTTTTTGTTCATTTTGTTTTTCTTTTCCTTTCTTTTTAAGCTTAAGTCATCCAAAACGGCGTGTTCCAAGCTAGAAAGTGAGCTGAAACAGGAGCAAGGAAACACACTGGACTTGAGAAAGTTGCTGACTGACGAGAGAAACGTCATGTCAACTATGGACATGGAGCACCAGCTGCAACTGGTTGAGCTCGAGCAGAGGCATCAAGAGAAGGTGGAACAGCTTGGACATCTTCGCAGACACACATTCATTCACAGTTCAGCTCGTTGAACTGCTGATTTTATTTCCACAGGTTCTCTTCCTCCTTAACCAGCTGCAGAATAAACCCGTGTGTGAGGAGTCGAAGGAAACAGAGATGGAAGATGAGCAGAGATCCGAGAAGAGGGAGCTTCTCCAGCGCCTCAAAGTTCAGGTTTGTATTTATATTAGGGATTAGAGTTGCATTTGGGCTCAAAAAATCCGACCCGGCCCCAGCCCGTAGCCATCATTTCCAAACACCACCCGACTCGACGAATTAACAGTAATTACAGGTCCGAACCCAAATTTTTTTTTTAATTTAAGCTTTGACTACTTATATAGTTAACGGTCGGCAGACGCGCGCGGCTGAATAAAAGGGGCAGAAGATCGGAGCTGAGAGGGTGTTTGTCCATTCATGGTCGCCAAAGAGTATTAAATCCCTGCTTCTGCCTGAATTCTGCATTATTCAGACATAGACCCTGCTCTGACATGTCTGCTTTGGGATCTCACCTGTTTGGGTTGTTGGCCGTGCGCATACGTTGAGTTCAGCGGCTGAATGAACGTCCATTTGGGTGATGGATCACTGCCTGGCAGTACCGGTAGTCCCATCTGATGCTTAACTGAACTTTTACCTCTTTCAAGGCCGGTCAGTGTTTGGTCAAATGCCCGCTTGCAGCTGGTGGATGTATGGCAAGCCATGTTGCCATATAATTGGATCGTCAGCCGCGCGCGTCATCTAACGCAGTCAAAAGCCCGACCCGGCCTGTCCACCCAGCACATTAGTATTATGGCCCAGCTCAAATTCGGACCGGGCCAGGCTTCAGGCCCGGGTTAGAAATGACAACTCTATTATGGATGCACAATATTATTGGCATGGTATCGGCTGATATTGGCGATAAAGTTAAATATCGGACATCTGCCATTCCATTAAAATTACTCACAGATATAAAAGGCTTCTGTTTTAAGTTACCGGTAATTTTTAATTTAAGAAACTGTAGAGTATACTGTGTCTATTAATCCACTACTACTTATGTACTTTTCACTTGTCGCTTGTGAACAGGTTGAGTTTAGAATTGTGAAAATGTACAAATTTGCACTATTCAAGTGTTGTCATTGTGTTGGAGAGAGTAAATGTCATGAATACATTTGACATTAAACATAATCCAAGTTGAAGTATTACATCATTTTCAGACCCTTTTTGGCATCTGCATTTGGTAGCAGCCAAACTGACAAAGACCATGTAGAGTAATGTAGTATTTTAATTCCACAGCAGAGAAAGCAATGTAGTCTCTGTAAGTAGGTCTAGTTAAAAAAAAAATGTTCATATTGGTATCGGTTATTGGCCAAATAAGTTTTAACATATTGGCATTGTAGTGAACTAGGCCTTCGACATCAATCTGTCTCTGAAGACCATCAGGGGACAGGAACTGTTATTTCATTGATTTGAATCCAGAAATACAAATTATCTCATCAAGAGACTATTTAATTTTATCCTGAATTAATCAGTTGAAAGAACACTCTTCTTTTTTTATATTATCATTAACTATTTTACAATATCTTGATAATCAAAAGTGTGTTTAGTTCATACTATTTCTAAATGTTGAAGTAAACCACTCATTTAAATCAACTGTGAAACAGTATCAATGATTTTTAAACCTCATTAGACTTGGATCATACAGTTAAATGTCTATTTACGAAGTAAGTGTGCATTTAGTCTTCTGTCTGAATGAGGAGTAGTGGATTTGAGGGAGAAAGTCGGAGACAAGTTATGAGAACGAAGTGCCTTGTTTTAAAACTCTCAGACAGTAAATAAGAACTGGCTGGCACCTACATTCTCTCATTTTTTCAAAATATTTCTCTGTCTGTACTAACCGTTCTTAAAACATTTCTGCTGTCTTCTGACTTCTAATAACCCTCTGACATCACTAAAACTACACCCCTGTTGTTTGTTTCAACCAATCAGGAAGTACCAAGTGACAGGAAGTGGATACCCTTTAAAAGGCAACACTTCTTGGAACTATTCAGTCTTTCGAGTCTTCCAAGTCTTCAGTCTTTTCCAGTCTTCCTGGAACTTTCAGTCGAAGATGAGACTCAGTCTGATGAAGTCTTACAGCTGAACAAAATAGCTGATGGATTTGACCATGTGCCAAGAGTCCGTCCATTCCAGCGGAGTCACAGCCTGCCTCGGCTGTGACTCAACCCGAGCATTAAATGCCCAACTTCTAAGGAAGCGTATTCTGTTGAACTGAGTACTTCGTCACGACTTCTGACGACCCCAGCCACTCTGACCGGAGACGCTGAAAAGGGAGCGTGCCAATGGACCTCTGTTCCGGAGTGGAAGTATCCACCATCTCAGGTAACAAAGTCGTTGCACGCCCTGAAGTGTACCGGAGGGCTGAGCTGGATTCGGAGGAAGGGTGCCATTTTCTGGTTCAACACATAACTTTCATCCATCTAAACCTCCTCTTTAAATCTATTACTTCTCTTTAAACTTCTATTCCCCAGTAAATCCAGCTAGATGCCTTCAGAGATGAATCAGTCTCAATCAGTAATCTTCTGTTGTCTTGTTTAGTAAATCGTGCCAAGTTTATTAATCAGAAACATATCAGCAAATCAATGTGTACATGTTTGATGTTAAATTTTGATTCTGTTAAATAAATGACCGCATTTATTCTGATGGGTCAAAGATAAAATGATGTCTCATGTCACTAATTACCACTCCACTCCACAAGTTATCTTGGTCACATGGAAGAAATTTAACTCGAAAAAGAGAGAATCTGTTGTAATTGAACAATTAATATTCTTTGTGCTTGAACTAGCATTAAGAATAATTAATTAGTAGTATGTTGCAGCGAAAGCTGTCCCTACATCACTACAGCATATTGGCCAAAAATCAACTTTCGTGCGGTCCTAATTTTTTTATCAGGTTTTTAAATGTTGTAATAAGTATTTGTGCAGAAATTGCTTCAACAAGGTCTTTGAAATGTCACACAGGAAGAAGAGCTAGAAAGACTCCAGACATTAAGTGAACAGAACCAGAAACTAATGGAACAGAATGAACAATATCAACAGGTAACGTTCCAGGTTTTTATTGAAGTTATCTAGAAATATATGTTTACTATCTTTATACCGCTGTTGTATTTTCTGTTGGTTCAAGATTAACTTTGTTCTTTGAATTTGGACAAATGGTAATCTGCCTGAAAACTTGTTTGTGCTGTAGGTCACAACTTGTCAGTCATAACCAAGTACCAGACTTAACCTTAACCAGCCTGATCTGTACACTAGCTTAAACTGTGACTGTTGTTGTTGTTGTTGTTGTTGTTGTTGTTGTTGTTGTTGTTGTTGTTGTTGTTGTTGTTGTTGTTGTTGTTGTTGTTGTTGTTGACGACACATTTCTGGTCTAGACTAAAGGGAGAAAACTTAACCTTTCAACAGTGATTTGTGCTCAGAAAGCCAGCAGTCTAAGCCTATAGCAGCGTAACAAGCCAACCCTAACTATAGGATTTATCAAAAAGGAAAGACTTAAGCCCAGTCTTAAACTGGACAGTGTGTCAGTCTCACAGACAGAAACTGGAAGTTGGTTCCACAAGAGAGGAGCCTGATAACTGAAAGATCTTCCTCCCATTCTGCTTTTGGAAACTCTAGGAACTACAAGTAAACCTGCAGTCTGAGAGCCAAGTGCTCTGTTAGAAAAATATGGAACAATAAGATCTGTAATGTAAGATGGAGCTAGGTTGTTGAGCGCTTTGTAGGTTAGAAGTAAGATTTTGAATTAAATTCTGGATTTGACAGGGATCCAATGGAGAGAATCTAAAACTGGAGCGATATGATCTCTCCTACTAACTCCAGTTAAGACTCTGGCAGCAGCATTTTGGATCAACTGAAGACTTTTTAAAGAAGAATTTGGACACAGATAACAAACCATTACAATAGTCCAGTCTAGACGTGACAAATGCATGAACCGGTTTTTCTTCATAATTTTTAGATAAGATGTTTTTAATTTTAGTGATATTACACAGGTGGAAGAAGGAGATTCTATTAACATTTTTAATGTGGGGGTTAAAAGACATGATGTCCTGATCAAAAATAACACCAAGATTTTTAACATTAGAGCTGAAGGACAGATTAATGCCATCTAAGGAGGGAGACGGACTGAAAAAATCATTCCAAAGATCCAAAATCTAAAACCTCAGTCTTGTCTGTATTCAAAAGGAGAAAATTTAGGGTCATCCAGGTTTTTATGTCTTTAAGACATGCTTGTAGTCTAATGTCTAAAACATCAATGAGTTTTGTTTTGTTTTTATTTTCCTACATTAGAAACTCTCTTTGCTCCACTTGGCAAGTGAGAAGAAAGTTCTTCAGCCTACAACCCAGAACAAAAAGGGCTCGGATGACTCGTTTGAATACGTCCCCCCAAAGGTGAGTTCTTTTTTTTCTCTTCTACGTCTCCCTACTTGTTTGGTTCTTTGAGCTTCGTGTTTAATGTCTTGATAAGAACAAATCTTTATTTTTAGTGTAAATTGACCATCTAAGAGAAACTCCCTGTCTTTTTTTGTATTTTTTAAACGAAAGCCGAAAGCGAAGCGCTACACTACTGCTAAAGCCAAGCTGAATACAACCATCACCATCTCAGAACTGCTGTCGCCCAGCGAGGATGAGAACGAGGAGGACGAAGATGAGTGGCGTCCTGAGAAGGAAAGCAGACCCTCAAGAAAATCCAAAACAACTGGGGTAAGTCTGGGCAGCAACTCTGGGTCATCCTAAAACAAAATGTACGTAAAAGCCTGGAGAAAATAAATCACAGGCTAGAAAAACAGGATGTTTTAAAAATCAAAATACATAACTTAATTTTTCATGTCGTCTTCAATGACAAAAATCAAAGAATATTTCAGATTTATTTAAATTTATTTTGTTTTTCCATTCTTATCAAATGTTTCTAATTCAGTCCCTCTTGCACTCCTTTTGATGTTTTTAAAAACTGATCTGCTGCAAACTGGGGTTTGGTGAAAAATTTTAAACAAAAAAATAAATTGCCATATTTTCCGCCGTACACGTCGCTTCGCCCTATAAGTCGCATCAGTCCATATTTGTCTAATAAAGTGGAAAAATCCATAAATATGTCTCTTCACCGTATACTTCACTTCCATTATGCGTCACTGCTGACGCGTTGCGTTTGTTACGCGTCACCGCTGACAGCCCGGAAATATGGGCCGGTGTTGTCAAAAATCTATTGGCTGTAAAATGGCGGCCGTGGGAGCGTGCACCGGGAGGACTTTAACAAGAATTTAACGAGATTAACACTTAAAAACAATTATTTGTTTGCTCGAATTTATAGTAAAGGTGTGTCTCAGTCTAACATTTACTTAATAAATGCACTTTAATGGTCAAATTAGCTGCATTTCGCTGGAGCGGTGCAGCTGTTTTGATGGTCGGTCCAAGCAGCGAGCAGAATGAAGGTGGGGAGAATATGACAGGCCGATTGAGTCATTAATAGCTGGTGAAGATTCTCAGTCATCCAGGACATTGTAAATTCAAAAAAGTTAAAGGAAAAAAAACAAAGTATAAAATATAGTATAATAAATAAAGCAGCAATATGATCATCCACATCGACAGCAAATCAAATACAGAAAAAGAACGTTATACTAAAACTAGGCCGCTACATGATTTTGTCTGAAAAGCTCCAAGTTTCGTCTAAACAGTCGCACCAGAAATAACGCATTTTCTATTTAGAAATTGGGTTTTTTAAATAAGATGTCTTCAATGTTAACCTCACTGTGCCACCTCTCTATTCAATTTGTTAAAGTTCATGAGCCCTTTTGTTTCCATTGATCTTTTTGTGTCTTCAGTGTTCGTGTAAGGGTCGCTGCAGCAACAAGCACTGCAGGTGTCGCAAAGGGAAGATGGCCTGTGGAGAAAACTGCCAATGTGATCACGAGAGATGCCGAAACTTGAGCAGCCAGGCACCTGCTGAGGTACGAGTTTCTGTGGAGTCTGGAAGAGCTTGGCTTTTATTACTTTTAGAAATTGAAAATTATGAAAAGGACTATGTTAAGCATAGAGAAGCAAAATGAACATATTGTAGTTTCTAAAACATAAAAACAGTTGAACTGCTACAAATAAACTGCACAAAGTGCTTTTCCTGTGAATCGAGAAGGATTTAGTCAGTTCAGTTCAGACCTTTTTGTCTATTGCAGGGAAATTTGCTTTACAGCAATGATTGAAGATGATGATGAAGGACATGATAACATATAACAGTATAATATTGGAAGCAACCTCATCAAGTTCCACCACAAAAATGTGCTTCATTAAAAATGTTAGAATATCTGTAATAATAAATGAAAATCACAAACGGAGCTACTTGGCCAAAGGAGGACTTGGCTGATGACAGCTTCAATATCAGTTCTCCTCCACCTCTTCTCTGAAGATGACAGTAGTTTTCTTTTTCTCCTACGCTTTAAAATCTAGTCAGTTCACTTCAATTCAGTTTATTTATATACAGTAGCGCCATCACTACAGAAATCATCTCAGGACACTGAACAGAAACAATTGCATAAAAAGCCAATTAGTAAAAGTTCTCTAAGGAAGCCAGCAGCTTGTGTTGGATCTTCTTTGTCACAGTCAATACTTACATGAGAAACAGATTTTACTGATTTATTTATTTATTTTTTTGTTTTAACAATTGTCTGAACTTAATTTATATTTCAGAGCACTACCTCATGGCCAGTTAAAACAAGTTTGTAATGTTTCTAGGATATTGTTCAAGGGTATGTTTTTCAATAAAATAATATAGGAAAATTGAAGGTGTGGACCTTATAACACCTGACAGTGTCGCTTATAAAACAAAACCGGTATTGGCCAAAATCGGAATCGGCAGGTCAGACTTTTTGGATCAGTGCACCCCTACTAACTATAGGATTTATCAAGGAAAAGACTTAAGCCTAATCTTAAAACTGGACAATGTGTCAGCCTCACGGACAGAAACTGGAAGTTGGTTCCACAAGAGAGGAGCCTGATAACTGAAAGATCTTCCTTCCATTCTGCTTTTGGAAACTCTATGAACCACAAGTAAACCTGCAGTCTGAGAGCGAATTGCTCCGTTAGGAAAATATGGAACAATAAGATTCCAAATATAAGATGGAGCTAGGCTGTTGAGAGCTTTGTAGGTTAGAAGTAAGATTTTGAATTCAGTTCTGGATTTGACATGGAGCCAATGGAGAGAATCTAAAACTGGAGAGATGTCTTTAAGACATGCTTCTAGTCTAAATAGATGATTGGATTTATTGGGTTTCATAGACAAATATAACTGTATATCATCAGCATAACTAACATAACTGACTATGACTTTTTATAATTGTTTATTGTTGCTGCTGTTGTCCATTGTTGTCATCTTTCTTTGTTGAAATCAGGTCTCTTGTAAATGAGTCCTCGAGGTTCAATGGGATTTACCTGTCTAAATAAAGGTTGATTGATTGATAACATTGAAAATGTAACGTAATGGAAGCATAAACAGGCGCTGGTCATAAAATTAGAATATCATGAAAAAGTTGCTTTATTTCATTAATTGCATTCAAAAAGTGAAACTTGTATATTACAGCATATTCTTTCATTATTCATGACCTGGCAGCATGATGGCTCAGTGGTTAGCACTGTTGCCTCTCAGCAAGAAGGTCCTGGGTTCGATCCCCAGTTGGATTTGGGGTCTTTCTGTGTGGAGTTTGCATGTTCTTCTTGTGCATGCGTGAGTTTTCTCCAGGTACTCCGGTTTCCTCCCACAAACCAAAAACATGCGTGTTAGGCAGCCTTCAGTTCAGGCCCAGGCCTCCCTTGCAAAAGAGTGATCCCAGTGGGATTTGCCTGGTTAAATAAAGGTTAATAATTATTACACACAGACTGATGTATTTCAGATGTTTATTTCTTTTAATGTTGATGATTATAACTGACAATTAATGAAATCCCCAAATTCAGTATATCAGAAAATTAGAATATTACTTTAAACCAATTTAAAAAAAAGATTTTTAGAAATGTTGGCCAAATGAAAAGTATGAACATGAAAAGTATGAGCATGTACAGCACTCAATACTTAGTTGTTGCTCCTTTTGCCTGGATTATTGCATCAATGCAGCGTGGCATGGAGTCGATCGGTCTGTGGCACTGCTCAGGTGTTATGAGCCCAGGATGCTCTGATAGTGGCCTTCAGCTCTTCTGAATTGTTGGGTCTGGTGTATCACATCTTCATCTTCACAATACCTCATAGATTTTCTATGGGGTCAAGGTCAGGCGAGTTTGCTGGCCAGTTAAGAACAGGGATACCATGGTCCTTAAACCAGGTACTGGTAGCTTTGACACTGTGCAGGTGCCAAGTCCTGTTGGAAAATGAAATCTGCATCTCCATAAAGTTGGTCAGCAGCAGGAAGCATGAAGTGCTCTAAAACTTCCTGGTAGACGGCTGCGTTGACCTTGGACCTCAGAAAACACAGTGGACCAACACCAGCAGATGACATGGCCCCAAACCATCACTGATGATAGAAACTTGACACTGGATCTCAAGCAACATGGATTCTGTGCCTCTCCTCTCTTCCTCCAGACTCTGGGAGCTTGATTTCCAAAGGAAATGCTAAATGTACTTTCATCAGAGAACATAACTTTGGATCACTCAGCAGCAGTCCCAGGTGAGATGCTTCTAACGATGTGTCTTGTTCAAGAGTGGCTTGACACAAGGAATGCAACGGTTGAAACCCATGTCTTGCAAATGTTCTCTGCCTGGTGGTTCTTGAAGCACTGACTCCAGCTGCAGTCCACTCTTTGTAAATCTCCCCCACATTTTGGAATGAGTTTTGTTTCACCATCCTCTCCAGGGTGTAGTTATCCCAATTGTTTGTACAATTTTTTTTTCTACCCCATCATTTCCTTCTCTTCACCTCTCTATTAATGTGCTTGGACACGGAGCTCTGTGAACAGCCAGCCTCTTTAGCAATGACCTTTTGTGTCTTGCCCTCTTTGTGCAAGATGTTAATGGTCGTATTTTGGACAAAGTCAGCTGTCTTCCCCTTGACTGTGTAGCCTACAGAACTAGACTGAGAGACCATTTAAAGACCTTTGCAAAGTGTTTTGAGGTTAATTAGCTGATTAGAGTGTGTCACCAGGTGTCTTCAATATTGAACCTTTTCACAATATTCAAATTTTCTGAGATACTGAATTTGGAGTTTTCATTAGTTGTCAGTTATAATAATCAACATTAAAAGAAATAAACATATGAAATATATCAGTCTGTGTGTAATGAATGAATAGAATATACAAGTTTCACTTTTTGAGTGGAAATACTGAAATAAATCAACTTTTTCATGATATTCTAATTTTATGACCAGCACCTGTATAAAGAGTGTCGCCTGTGAATAGTCACCTGTTTTTGTCTTGTTTGCATACAAGATGAGGAGACTGTTCCTACATGCCATAAAGAGGTTTATCAGTTCAGTGTACACACAGTGTTGCCTTAGTTACACTGTACATCTGAGCTGAAGATGGTAAATACTGTACAAACTGTAGGAGACAAACCCCCTGTGGTCTTTCTGTGGCGCTGACCAAATGGATCTGCTTGCATTTTAATGAGTTTCGCACTTAGCGGTGCAGACTGAAATATAGACACAATTCTAGGTGTTCCCTGCTTTGTCCACATGATGAACATGTTCTTTGGTTCTCTCTGTACAGGAACTTCTCTCCTGTACATCTCACTTTCTTGATGCCCACTGTAAGGTTTCTGTCCAGACTTTCAGAACCCCCACCATCTCTGAAGCCTTTGTGTTTGCCTTTTCAAATCACCAGTGATCCAGTTTTATATTAGTGAGAAGCACACAGATGTATGCATCTCTGATATTTCTGTAGAAGATCTCCAGCATTTCTTTGTTCTGGCTCTACAGCTAATTTGTGGTTGTAAAAGATCCCGTGATCAGAAACTTTGTTTTCCCATCCTTCAGTGTTTCAGCTCAACTTGTCTAAAATACAGCCAGCCAAATACAAACACAAGAATAACGTTTTTAAATCGCTTCTTGATGCTCATCTCTTCTCCTTGGCTTTTGACACAGTCAGACATGTGACATACTAGTTTTAATTTTAGTTTTATTTAATTGATTTTGCATGTTTTATTATTATAAGGCTATTTTGATTTGCTTTAAAAAGTTTTTATGTATTGTAACTGCTGTTTGGTTTGATTGACTCACCGTACAGCACCTTGAGCCAGTGTTGTAGTCTAGACCACCTAACCCGAGACCAAGTCAAGACCAAGACCTCAAGTCTTGGAGCGTAATCTTTTCACAGATTATCTGTCCTATACTGTCAGGACATTGTGACAGTTTTAACAAATATGTAAAAAAAAAAACATAACTTCTAAAAAACATTTTTTGTAAAAGTTACAAACTGCAACTTTGTTTGCCTTTGAATGAATGTATCAGCTTTTATACATTTTCAAAGCTACATAACAAAAAAATCAGACATTCAGTGGTTTTTGCACCATAAGTTTTGTGTCAGTGGGTCACATGACATGAAAATTATATTTGTTCAAAAATCATGGTTTTCACTCGGTAACTATTAAAAAATGCTTTAAAATTATAAATAATGATGGTGTCTTGTGTGTCAGGTCCATTCGAGTAGTTTAACATTAGTTTTGTGTCAGTGGATTAAATGATGTAAAAGATATTATTTTTTGTTTCTGAAGAGTGTTTGGTTCTGTAATTTGTTGATGGTCCCTAAGTGAACCATTACGTTTCAGAGGAGGAGCAGACTGAGAGCAGCTGACTGAAATCAGACTGCCTGCTTTGGATCGAACGAGAGGAACGCACCGCTGAAGCCACGGAGCTCTAATGTCCAACGTAAAACTAACTTAACCGCGGTATTCTGATTTACCTCATTTTGTATATTGCTTTGTGTGTTACCTGTTGTTCTGTCTGTACAGCACTTTGGTTTGCCTTGTCGCTGTTTTAAGTGCTTTATAAATAAAGTGGTATGGTATGGTATGGTATGGTATGGTATGGTATGGTATGGTAGAGAATTGAGTCTCCAGCAGCACAAACGGTTCAGAAACAATTTGAAATGAGAAAAAAAATCTATTAACTGATTAAGTCGTGTTTTAGACTGATTATTGCTACAGAATCTATTCTGACCCAAAGTGCAGCCGTGACTGGTTCTGAATGAGGCTTTACAGCAGAAAGCTGCTCCCCTCTCTTCCAGTACTGCGTACCAGCGCAGAATCTTGTAGTGGTCCGCAGTACTGAACCGTACCAGCTTACTTTCACCCCTGGTTGCAACATTACGTTCTGTTGTCTGTATTGTTCTGTTGGTACAGAACCGTGTGAGAGTGAAAGAGAGTGGGCGTGTCAGCGGTAACAAAAACATGAATTTAGCAATGAGTCACATTATCTCTTGGATTTGAACCAGTGTGTTTCACATCCAATAAAAACAAAGATGTTGACAATGTTCTGGCAATTTCCACAGTTCTGTTCTTGAAATTAAATCCAGAGTCCTCAATGTCCAAGACCGAGACCAAATGCGGTCGAGTCAGAGACTAGACAGAGACCATCAAAAAGTGGTCTTGAGACCAAGACCGGTCTCGAGTACTACAACACTACTTTGAGCCTATGGTTGTTTAAAGTGCTTTATAAATAAAGTTGGTATGATAATGGCCACAGCGCTGCAGTTTTACAGATAGAGCTCATTTTAGTGTGCAGTAAGGTTTGTGGTAGTAGTGGAGTCATCCTCAACATGTGCTCCAAGCATTAACACCTGAGATGTGACTGCAGCGGCCATCATGAAATAAAACATTTGTCATGAAAAGTAAATGGACTGTACTTGTATCACTTTTCTATCTTAAAGATACTCAAAGCTCTTTACAACACAATCTACGCCCTCATTTACCCATTCATACAGCACTCTACTAGATCTCTACAAAGACTAATCAGAGCTTTATCTCATTCATACACCGATGGGACACACATTGGAGGCAGTGAGGGGTTCAGTGTCTTGCCCAGGGACACTTCGGCATGTGGCTGCTGATGGAATTGAACCCCCAACTCTCGCATTGGAAGATGACTGCTCTAACCACTCAGCCACAGCCGCCCCACAAAAAAGTGTTTGTAGATCTTAATTTAAGGAAGACTAGGCCTTTGTTGTTCTTTCTGAGTCCTCAGTAATTTCAGGTTCTGCCTGATGATTGATGGCATCTTCTTTTTAAAAAATCTTTCTCTTCTTATGGACATTTTAACTCCACTGTGTTATTCGGTTTGGTTATAAGGATCTTTATCTACGCGCTAGTTCTGCTTGTGGAAGTTGGATCAGCTGCTCCTGTTTGTAAATCAGTAGAAAGTGGATTTACTTAGTTAATCTTAAGTTGTTGGCCTCCTGTGTAGTGTTCATCCTGTAAACAGTTGTTTCTTAGAGGAATAATAGAAATCTTTTGAACTAAATTAATTTGCTGAAGTTCGTAGAGGACTGATGAAGTGTTTTGTTGTTGACTCGTTTCAGGATCCTGTTCTTGCAGAAGGTGTTTCCAGAGACTCCGCGTCCCTTCAGGAACCAGCATGCGAGAGTCCTGAAAGCACCTTCTTCCAGCCGCCCTCCTACACTCCTACGAAGAAGGTAAATCAGACCGAGCGGCACCGGGACGACCAGTCACCTCATACGGCTGTAAAACAGATCTGACACTCGGGCTTATTTATTCTGAAGCTGTTGGTCTACGTGCAGGAGCTGAGGGGTGAATGTTAACATGACTCTGGTATACGCCTGACAGGTGCTGAAGGAAATCGAAGGCATGGGCCACACCCCCACAGAGCTAAATCTGGTCAGGAAGGCTGTGGAGGAGGAGGAAGAGGAGAACGATAACGGGGAAGAGGACAGAACAACAGTCAGCTTCATCAAGAAGAAGAAACGCTTGCTGACCAGTTTCCAACACAGTTTTTTCTCCGGCTGCACTCCCATTAAAGAGGAGTCCTAATCGGGCCGGGACGAGGGAGAGAGTTCTGCTTCTTGTTCATACATGTTCGTGTTTTGTGAGTTAAGTCTTTTAATTAAACTATGTACTGTAAGAGAAAAGTAGAAACTGATTCTAACTTTTTTCTGTTCCTTTGGAAGGAAGCAAACGTAGTAAAGAGAACTGATTATTGAAATGAACTAAAAAATGATCAGGAGTCTGTACATAGACATCGCGTCATCACAAACTAGATTTATTAACTAGCTGACACGCTTCACGGCTTCCATGTAGTTTCAGAAATTAATAAAGTCTTGCTTGCGTCTTCATTTTAACAATGTTTTTACCTTGTCTGAATCTTGATCTTATTATAAATAAAAGCTGAATACTTGTGTCTAGCTGTTAAACTGGTGTTTTACTCTCGGCTCCTTTTCTCTGCTGTTTTCACAGGTTATTTTAAAGGAAACCTGCTGGAAGAGGAGCAGTTTAATTACTGAATATGTTTAGAAATGAACTGTTCTTCCCAATCACTCCCACATAAATTAAACACTATTGAAATAGAATTGTGAATTAATATCTAATAATTACAATATGCTGTTTTTCAAGTTTTGATAATACTTTAACCCAATAGTATCTCGTTTTGGAATCAAAGATGACTAAACTGATATTTTGAAGTTTTCTCTTGCAAAATGTTGTAGAGCTTGATGAATGTGACGTCACTGGACACTTCAAACAGTTTGTGGTAAAATCTGCAAATACCGATGAGATGACGAGAATACTCAGTCGGCTGTGTCGAATATCTGGGCCAAGTACAAACAAAACGATCACGTGGTCGACGAAGGAAGACCTAGAAAACATAAACAAAACAAGTGGGTGGAAACGAGTCGGTGTGATCAAACTGAAAGAAACGAGATTTACAGTCATCGTCCAAACAAACGTAGAAAGAGGACTGCCTGATGAAAACGTAAGTTTCCACAGTCATTGATTTATTTTGGGCCTGTGTCGAGTAAAGACACGTGGAGGAAGGGCAGTCAAAACATCTACACAATCAGTTAAAAAGATGTTTGATGGTGACTTCATTTTTCAAGATAATGCATCATATCACAGCAGAGGACGCAAAAACCTTTTAAGAAGGACTTATGTCAACAACATGGCCTGCAGATGGTGCTGATCTTAATCCAGTTCAAAATATGGAAAATGAAGAAACGGTCAACAACAAGGCTCCAACCTGCAGAGCTGATCTGGGAACAGCAATGAGAGACGGTTGGAAGCGGATTCATGAAGAGTAGCTTGTCATTAGTTTTGTCCATGTTTCGGTACAACAAAGTACTAAAAGAGCAGTTTTCTCATGATTACATCATTGTTTCCTCTACTTGAACTAAACAAAAAAACTTACTAGCTGGAGCTCTTCATAGTAAATGGACTGTACTTATATATCACTTATGATATCTTGATATCAAGACACTCACAGCACTTTACACTACAATCTGTCCTCATTTACTCATTCATACAGCACTCTACTAGATCTCTACAAAGCTAATTGAACAAATCATTCTAAAGACACTAATCAGCTTTATCACATTCATACACTGATGGGACACACATCAGAGGCAACGAGGGGTTCAATGTCTTGCCTCACTTATGGTCATGAGCTCTGGGTAGTGACAGAAAGAATGAGATCATTGATAAAGGTGGTTGAAATGAGTTTCCTCTGCAGAGTAGGTGGACTCCCCCTTAGAGACAGGGTGAGAAGTTCAGTTATCAGGAGAGACTCGGAGTAGAACTGCTGCTCCTCCACGTCAAGAGGAGCCACTGGAGGTAGCTCAGGCATCTGGTGAGGATGCTCCCTGGGTGCCTCCCTAGGGAGGTGCTTCGGCCATGTCCTACTGGGAGAAGACCCCTGGGAAGACCCAGAACAGGCTGGAGAGACTATGTCTCTCGGTTGGCCTGGGAACCAAAGTTGCATTCGAACCAAAAAAATCTGGCCCTGACCGAAACCGTATAATTTTTTCTGAGCCCAACCCGAAACCGTCCAATTAACTGCGATTACAGGCCCGAACCCGGGAAAAAAAAAAGACTTTTTGAAAAATGATTATTATTCTTTTACTGCTTTTGTAAGCAAATCAGTTTGACATGATTATAAAATGTATTTCAAAGAAAGGAAGATATAAGATGTCAAGAGTCAGCGGATTATTATAGTTATTATATTATTAATGGTCATCTGCTGCGTGGGTCCACTTAAGCAGGTGGGTCGTTGGCAGTCATCCATCTGGACTTTTTTGCAGGCTACCTCTTTCAACCGGCCGGTCAGCGCGCGGTCAAACCACCACGAGCGGCTGGTGGTGATCCAAATTGGATCATTAGCCGTCAAAAGCCCACCACCGACCCAGCCTACCCATCCAGCACATTATTTTTGCATGGCCCGACCTGAAATTGGGGCCGGGAGCAGGCCTGGATTAGAAATGACAGCTCTACTCCTTGGAATCCTCCTAGAAGAGGTGGCTGTGGAGAGAGACGTCTGGACCTCCCTGCTCAAGCTGCTTCCCCCACAACCTGACCGGAACAGATGGATGGATGGATGGATGGATCCTCATTCTTACAAATATTCGTACAGACAGTTCAGTATATTCAGTCAGCATCAGACATAAGTTGTCTTTTGACAGAAACTTGTCTCATTAAATAATGGATTGTAACATCAGTTTGGTTTTATGTGGTGATTTTAACGTTCATGTTTGCTGTCCCTGTAACCAACTCGCTGCTGACTTTCAAAGCCTTCTGGATTCTTTTAACCTGTCACAATCTGTGTCAGGGTCCACACACAGTCATGGTCATACTTTGGACCTAATCATCTCTCACGGCCTTCGTGTATCTGTTATAGAAATTTTGGACACTTGTATTTCAGACCACTTTCCTATTATATTTGAATTTTCCACTCCTCCCCCGGTAAAAACTATGCTTCCAGCACGTCTCTGCCGCTTCATCACTCCCTCCACTCCAGGTCAGTTTGCTGCTGCGTTTAGAAGCACTGACTTATACTCTGCTGAAAGTCTGGACTCATCTCTACATCCAGAAGGATTTATCACCTCCTTTCAGTACACTTCTACAAAAATCTTGGACTCCATCGCTCCTTTAAGACAGACTTCTACAGAAACCAAACCAGATCCCTGGCTTAATGGTACCACTCGGACTTTGCAGATGGCAGAAAGACAGGCTTCATGTGTCCCAGGACATACTGAGAGACTGTCTTCATGAATATCAAAAAGCTGTTAAGCAGGCCAAATCACAATATCTTTTCAATTTAATTTCTACCAGTTGTAACTGGCCGAGGGTTTTATTTAATACCATTCAGTCTGTCATTAATCCCTCCATCAATGTTCTGAAAACTGCTACACAGTCTACCTGTGATGGTTTTCTTGATTACTTTGTGAACAAAATAGACTCTATCAAGCAGAACATTGTCAGTACATATAATGCTGTTCAGTTATGTGCTCCCTCAATAACCTCTGCTGTGTTTGATCAATTTGACCTGGTCTCACTACCTCACCTCGTTAAGGTGGTTCAGCAGATGAAACCTACAAACTGTACCCTGGACATCATTCCCTCTAAGATGTTCAAGCAGTCCTTGGATGCTATTGGTCCTTGTCTTCTGACATTTATTAATAGCTGTCTAAGTTCAGGTTATGTCCCGTCTGTTTTCAAACATGCTGCGGTCAGGCCTCTTCTTAAAAAACCGGGTTTAGATCCTACAGCTTTTTCTAATTTTAGGCCAATTTCACACTTATCATTTTTATCCAAAGTTCTGGAAAAGGTTGTTTTCGTTCAGTTGCAATCTTTTTTAGAACACAACAACTTGTTTGAAAAATTTCAATCTGGCTTCAGACCACATCATAGCACTGAATCTGCACTACTCAAAGTACAGAATGATATTCTTTTGTCCCTTGATGCCAAAAAACCTGTTCTGCTGGTGATGTTGGACCTCTCAGCAGCTTTTGATACTGTAGACCATCAGGTCCTAATCACTCGTTTGGCTCAGCAGGTTGGCCTTCAGGGAGATGTGCTTGAGTGGTTTAAGTCCTATTTAACAGACAGAACTTTATCTGTTATGATAGGTGATCTGTCCTCTTCTTCAATATCTTTGACATCTGGTGTACCGCAGGGATCCATTCTGGGCCCTGTTCTCTTCTCACTTTACATGCTACCGTTAGGACCCATCATTGCACGCCATAATCTGTCTTTTCATCTGTATGCAGATGATCTACAAATCTATCCGTCGGTCGCTCCCAGTTCCTCACTCAGTTTAAACTCTATTGCCAGCTGCTTAAATGACATTAAGCACTGGCTGTCTCAGAATTTTCTCCACCTAAATAACGATAAAACTGAATGGATTTTATTTGGTGCTTCCAGTAATTCATGCAACATCTCTCCCAGTCTAGGTTTTCCGCTCCCCCACGCCAACCAGGTGGTAAAATATCTAGGAGTGGAGCTTGACTGTAACTTAAAGTTAGATAAACAGATCAGTTCTGTTGTGAAAACCAGCTTCTTTCAGCTCCGTCTGCTTTCAAAGGAAAGTCACTCCTTAGCCGTAGTGATCTGGAGAAGGCCATCCATGCCTTTGTGAGCTCTAGGCTTGATTACTGTAACGCCTTATATGTCGGTATTAATCAATCTTCTATCTCCCGTTTACAGCTTGTACAAAACTCTGCTGCTCACCTGTTGACTAACACACGTAATTATGAACATTTCACTCCTGTCCTATCTTCTTTGCACTGGCTCCCGGTTCAGTTTAGGACACAGTTCAAGCTGCTACTGTTTGTTTTTAAAGCTTTGAATGGCCTTGCACCACCTTATATTTCAGAACTTTTGAAAGTCCACCATCCCAGCAGAGCTTTACGGTCTGCTGGTCAGTATCTGCTGGAGGTGCCACGCTCAAGGTGCAAACAATGTGGGGACCAGTCCTTTTCTGTTGCTGGCCCAACAGCCTGGAATACTCTTCCCTATGAGCTGCGTGCCATCTCTGATCTGGTTCTGTTCAAAGCCAAACTCA